CTCTTTCTAACGGACCCAACAGAATAGGTGTTTCCTTCACCTGAGGACGGAAACAGATCCAGTTTCCGAAACGTCGTGTTTTTATTAGTTATCTTAAAAACCAGGACGATGGATAAAGTCCAAAAACCCAATATATCAGTGTGTTATACACCATCGTCAGAATCCTACAGTAAAATAATTATATCTCAGAAAGCTTTTATTGTACACATTTATGGGTTACACCACTACAAAAGGAAACTGTCAGTTTTTTTTCTGAGTATATGACTTTCTCAATAAATTTCAACATGGGCTCCCTTGGTGGCACGACAGATATCCAGAGGATTCAGCGTGTTTGGTGTTACCGTAGCCACAGCGTCCCTTATGCAGACTTTCAGGTGTTGCAGATCGTTGATCGTAACCTGGTAGACAATGTTCTTCACATAACCCCACAAGAAAAAATTCAGTGGAGTTCAATCTGGCGACATAGGAGGCCAAGTGATTGATCCACTTCTGCCGATCTATCACTCTGTCCAGGTGATTCCTAACATGGTGACAGAAATGTGGCAGCGCATGCGCGTAAGCCGGTCAGGGGGAAAAAACTTAACAGGGTTTTCCTTTCCGATGACATAAACCGGATACGTGTATGACAATTACTTTCCGAGATATAAAATTTTTTATTTTGGATACCTTTCATCCGGACACCCGATATTATACCACGCTAAATACGTATTACTGTAACTACAACACATAAAATACAAAAGTGGACAGCCAAAAACGCAAAGGACAGATGTAAATGTGGACAGAGTACGAACCTTCGTGCGCTCAGATCGAAGATTAAATGTGAGACTGAGAGCAGAACTGAATATGAACAGGGAAACAGCGCGACAGGTTATTACGGAGGATTTGGGAATGGGAAACATTTCCGAATCTTGACAGATGACGTCGGCTTTGGAAAACACAGTATTCACCTCGGCCGAAAAAAGAGCACGCCATGTCTCGCTCGCAATTCAAGACCATGCTTGTATGTTTCTTCGATCACAAGGGGATACTTCACTATGAATTCACTGCACAAGGACAAACGGTGAATCAACAGTGTTATTTGGAAGTGCTGACAGGGTTATGGCGATCCGTTCGGAGGAAAAGACCCGAACTCAGATGACAAGTAGACTCTCGGCCATGACAATGTCCCTACGCATGATGCGTTAAGGGTTCGCGAGTTCCTGGCTAAGAAATCCATTACAAAAATGGACCATTCACCTTATTCACCTGACAGCCCCCTGCGATTTTTGGCTCTTTCCAAAATAAGAAAAGAAAAGTGCCCTAAAGGGCTAAAAATTTGCTGACATTCCTGATATCCAACTCATCGTGACGTAACTGCAAGGTATTCCGGAAAACAACTTTCAAGACTGTTTCCGGCAGTGGCACCATCGTCTCACGAAGTGCATAGCTTCACAATGAGAGAATTTCGAAGGCGACAGCAGCCGCTAGTGCACAGGTAAGCAAATTTTACTTTCACAGGGCCATTCCGGGAATTAAATTGTCGCATCTTGTAAAGTCTTCAACGTCTGCTTGCTTAGTCGTTGCTTGGTAACGAATCTTATCTGGTTAACACTTCAACTATTGAATCCTTGAGCGATGAATCTTGAAGAATCTCTAGTCTCTCGAATTCTCTCCTCAGTAAGACTCACTGCGAATGAATTACGTGTCCTTTTGTGACCTGGTGCGGACCGCGAACTGCACACTTCAACAGTTCATCTGTTTTAATCTGCGTATCCGTTATCACGGTAATGCGTGACAATCTACGGGCAACGCTTTGATTTACACCAGCGTATTCGCTGCCGCGAAAGCGTGTTTTAGCTAGCCGTTGTAAGGGAAACTTAGTATTTACTTAGTCGTTGCTCATCAACGGACGTCAGGCTCTGGCTCCGCTATTCCGACTTTCAGGCGTCATGTCACAGTATGGATCTCACTGTCGTCGCCTGTGTTAAGCAGTAATTCGGAGAGAACGCTGTGAAACACCTCGTCCAAGAGAGCCAGTGATTTTCATAACCTTTCTCTAAAACTTTTTTATGGAACATGTCGACCACACAGAAGGCTCCTTTTTGTTCAACGAGATATTCCGAATTTTTAAAAATAATGTCAATTCTTGGTATTCGTATTTGATATATTTATTTGGTTTTAAATTCGGATTTTCTTCCAAAAATCCATGGGGGAGGGTAGCAGATCCCTGGATCCCTTCCCGAACGTTCCCGAACCACTTAGCAGTAGACAGTAATTTGCCCCTGATGACGTAACAATCTGCAACCAGTATCCCAACTGCATGCGCTAGAACGCGCTGGAATGTGTGTCTGAACGTGTTTCCTCGCCCAGTAGTTCACTGAGCAACAATTTCCGCTCTGGAAACAAGACTGATATTTACGTTTCGTAAGTATATATGTTGACTGTATCCAGTTCAAAATAGAGATCTGTCGATATTTGCAGGTAAGGTCATCAAACGTCGATAATGGAATCGATATTTGTAACGTGACTCAACACCAGAAGCGGAAAGTGATCCTTGCGCTTCTCCACCATGGCCGTTAGGGGAATTACTCATATCTATAATGTTCAGAAAGTTCAGAAAGGCGGTGGTGTTGGTCTGGGTAGGTAATGTTGCTATTGTTCTTAAGGCGTTGGGAATCTGTTCCGTACTGACTGATGGTTGTGAAGTAGAAGTGACGGTGAGCAGATGTTCCAAAAAATATTTTGGAGAAGTAAATGAACAGGCAGTCTACATTTGTAAGTGTACAACTGAAGTTATATATATATTCGAAGGGACATCACTTGAATCATCAAAAATCTGAAGAGCCGACACTGCGAGGTAAGTAAGGGCCAGTAGTGATTTCTGAAAAGAGTTTTATTCTTTTGGCAGTATAGCTAAGGTGCAGTTATGACAGTATATTTAAAATGAGTTCAACAGTCTGGGGTTTTTAACGTGAAATCTGGCCATGAAAGAACGTGACGTAAGAAAGAATAGTCATAACGTTATCTGTAAAAAAAATAAACCCCAGTTCTGAACAATGAAAAGGTTACACACTTAAATTTTCGGAACTACAGAACAGATTTCGATGACACTTCGTGTGTTGCTGAACGAGTTTAATTTTAGTACGAAGTGGTACTGCGTCTGAAACAAAATCAGATTTTTTTTTATTTTACGATGGAAAATATTGACCCAGTTGAAGTGTACATATTTAGCCTACAGTACAGTTGTGTTGTGGCCAGAAGGCATGCTGATGATGACCCTTTTGCTGTTGTAACTGTTGAACTGACAGACGATTTTCACGAGAATTTGTATGGAACTTGCGCCACACTTTTTTTCCCCACCAATTAGTACAATATGGCGGGGGGCACTATGCTACAAGCCGGAAGGTAGGGGGATCAAATCCTGATGAGGTCATTGGATTCTTTTTTCAATTTACCTAATAATCCTTCCAGCCGCATTATGGCCCTGGGGTCGACGCAGCCTCTTAACAGAAGTGAGTACCAGGAATATTCTTAGGGGGGTAAAGGGCGGCTGGCACGTAAGGCTGACAAGCTTACCGCCGTCATCAGATCGATTGTCTAGAAAATGTGGGAACCTCAACATCTCACAACCCTATGGGCCGCCACGGCCTGTTACAGGGATACATTTACTTTACTTTACTTTACTTTCAATATGGCGTACGCGAGAATTTGTGCGGTGAGGGACTAGAGTTAACTGAGTTTTGAATTCTTACGAGTAAAAGACGCTAGGTGAGAAATCTTACGAAAAGTATGGGTCATACGAAAATTCATTCACCTCGAATTTGATATGGGTTAATAGTGACCTACTGAATCAGGCAAATGGAATTTGGTACTGAGGTGCGTTATATACATATTTATGTATAATGCATGAAGTGCTTTTTATAAATCAACAGTCAAACACAGCAATGGTGGGAAACGATGTCTCACAAAATTTTAACGCATACAAAATCTGCATATAATAATTCGATTCCCGGCGCTACCAGATTTCCTGAGTAGTAGTGGGTCTGGAACGAGGACTCAGCCTCGTGAGAATAATTGAGGACCTGCTTGAATGGAAAAGTAGCGGCTCCGGTCTAGAAAATCGAAATTAACGGCCGTGGGGATTCGTTGTGCTGACCACGTGACACCCTCTATCTACCAAAGTTGGCACCAACTTCGCCGACAAGCGGCGGTCGCTCGGTCGGTGTAGTTCGGTTGCGGACTAAAGCTATGGAGTTTACGAGTATGTCGTTTTATAGCTGTTGAAAGTTGTACTGCACACGTTTTGTTTGCACAAACACGTACACACATTAGTATAGTGTTGTGGGAAGAACCAACTTCGTTTAATGTAGGACATGGAAGCCGAAATGTATGGGGGGGAGGGTAAGGCATGCAACTGCCCCACTACATTTTTGGAAAAAATCAAAATTGAAAAAAGGAGAAAGTATACAAAAAATTAAAATTGTCGAGAAATGTTCTCTACAGCATATTCAAAATGGGGGGGGGCGGTTGTTCCCCTTATTTCGTTTGATAGAAATCGAGGTCATATGGCAAATTAACTGTAACCAGTGGAGGGAGAGAAGAAATACAGCGCAGTTACGTTAATATTAAGATACATAACAGTAACATATTTCATAGGCCAGTGAGCAGTTTCCTATAAATTTCAGCTTCAGTCATTGTTTAGGCATAACTTAAAGAGTGTGCAGTAGAATGTACATATAATTACTGGGGGTTTGGACTTTTTCCATCGTCCGGAATTTTAGGTAATAGAGGACACGACGTTTCGGAAACTGGATCTGTTTCCGTCTTCATGTGAGAAAGGAAGACACCTGCTCAGTTGGGCCCGTTACAAAGAGCTAATCTCAATCAGTGGAATCTTTCTAAGGGGACCAACTGAGTAGGTGTCTTCCTTTCTCACCTGAAGTCGGAAACAGAACCAGTTTCCTCTATTACCTAAAATTCCGGAAGATGGAAAAAGTCCAAACCCCCAGTAATTCTGTGTGTCATCCACCATCGCCAGAGCCCTTTAGAATCTACCAGTAGAATGTAGTTAGATTTTCGCTCGCTGCACATTCTCTGATTGCCAGTTTAGAATCAGAAGGGATGGCAAACGAATTGGGTTGATTAATTTCGCTGTAGTTGTAAGAGAATGTTGATAAACGTTAAAATTCATCAGAGAAATGTACATTCTACAGTATGAAAGTATGTATGTAAATTCATATGATGGCCCTTTGGATTCCATAGAAGTGGGGAATTTCTTGTTCACCTGAGCAACTACCAGTTTTTCATGGAATACATAGTTCATTATTTATGTATCCACAGAGCCTGCTTAAGTGTGACATGATATTGAAATAACAGAGCAATCCTTTATATACATTTTCATGGACTAACTGCCAACCCTGTTCAAAACATGAAAACAAATTCAGGAATGGATTATGGGGTGATCACTCACTGAGTGGTACTGAGTCCTTGAGAAACCTACAGCTGCTGAGTTGCTCACCAAAGCAAAAAATTCTCAGCATTTTATGGAACCTGAATGTTCCTTACCTATAATCCATTTCAGTATCCTCTGTCTATTTCCATCTTCCTAGTAGTACTTTCCTTCGGATCTTCCCACCAAAAGCTGTATTCACTTCTATTCTCTTCCATGTTTGCTACGTTTCCAGACCATCTCCTCCATGACTTAATCATTCTAATAATATTTGGTGAGGAGTACAAATTATGAAGTTCCTCATTATGCATTTTTCTTCAGCCTCTGATTATTTTATCCATAATTGGTCCCAATATTATCGTCACCACCCAGGTTTCAAACACTCTTAGTCTAGGTACTTAACGTGAGAGACCAAATTTCACACCCGTACAAAACTACAGGAAAAATTATGCTTCTGTATATTTTAATCCTTGCACTTGTAGATAGAAGACAAGACAAAAAGTTTCTGAAATGAACGGTAGCAAGCATTCCCCAAATTTAATCTGTTGTTAATTTCCTTGTGAATAAAATTTTCATTTGTTAATGGTATAAAAATTTGTGTCATGTCCCTTCTGTATGGGAAATGTTTCATGACAGTATTGAAATGGGTAGGATTTTTAGAGTTATGGGGAAGCTGTCTTCATCCATTCATCTACTTCACCTTCTGGTTTCAGCAGTTACAAAATATGGTGTGTAACATACATTTTGGGTCTAATGCCATATGAGTGAACTTCACTTTAGAGACAGCATACATATGAATCTAATTTGGGCTAAATTGTTATCTATTTCAGGATGCTTCAAGAAGTTCTAAGTAATCACAAACCTGCGACATGGGACGAGGGGCCTTACAACAATAAGCTGTACAGAAAAATCCAAGTATTTGGCAATGAACATAGTAGAGTGATACAAGATTTTCAAACTGAACTGAAAACACGAGTTGAAACTGTTTACCGCATACAAAACCCATATATATATGGACGGTATAAACTGAAAGTTGAGCAGCTTCAGCTCCGGAATACAGTTTATGAGGCAAGTGTGCTGCATGATGAATAACAATAAGCACCATCAAGTGAATACACCCAAATGTAAGAAACCCAGCAGCCAGTGTGTAATACAGAGAAATAAACTTTTCCTGCAGTAATATACAGCAGTAACATAACAGCAGTAATAAAGTAAATTGTAAAGAGTTCTGTCACTGGTTTATAGCAGTCGGGATTACTGGTATTTTGGAGTTTGTCTGTTGTCTGGTATTGCAAAGAACACAACGTTTCAGAAACTGGATCTGTTTCTGTCCTCAGGTGAGGGTGGTAGGAGTCACCTACTCTGTTTGGGTCCCATAGAAACAACCAACCTCAATCACTGGATCGGTGACCAGTTACCGAAAGGTTCTGTTCTTTAGAATACCGGGAGAGGGACAAGTACAAACATGAAATAATCCCGAGTAATAAATTATTACACCTCTGCCTGGAAAACTGGGTTTGAAAATTCTGTTCTTGGGCGTCAGGATGTTTCATTTATCGACATAGCTAAGCAGCTGCACACAGCCAAAAGGGGTTATATTCTGTCTTCGGGGATGGGTGGTTGGGGTAAGAACCCCTCAGTGTAAAAATGTAGCCTGTTACGAAATTTATTCACAGTGTGAGACTTGATGAGTTCGTTGGAGCCACTTATCGAATGGCAAGACGACGACGCAGTATATAAGGCAGTCACATTTTAGTTTGATTGATATGGGTGTAAAAGTGATTCTTATAAGATGGTAAAAAGTGCTGATATTTTCAGAGTGATAACAGTGAAAAGGAAAGAAATGACGTACTTTTAAGTTAAATGTAGGTTGAATACAAAACACTGCTGTTTATGTATCATTTTGTTTATTATTTGTGTGGGGTGTCTTAATTTCATCCACCCACCCACCAGCCATGTTGCTCCCACTTGAAGCATAGGGCATCCATGAAATGCTTGTTTCACTTCAGTTTATTAAACAGTCAGTAGAACTCCTTGGAGGAGGGATCAGCCTGTCACAGGCTGCTACTGACGCATGAAAGCAGAACACACAGAGGTAAACATCCATGCCTGGAGTGGATTTTGATCCCATGATGCCAGTGTTAGAGCAGGCGAATACATTTCATGCCTTAGACCATGTTGCCACTGTGATCGGCAGTAATATGTATAATAGTGCCATGCTAATCAGGCAACTTAGACATCAGAATAACTGAAGCCCATTTCTGACTCCACAATTTTCAGGGTAGATGAACTTTTCATAAATGACCACATGAGATCTTGCCTACTCCAGTTTCTTGAGAAGCCTGTATTTCATCCCAAGCTATTCTATGCAGATGATCCTCAGTAAGTTGACCCATAATGAGGTCTTTACCTACCACAGTTTCTTGTGATATGGGCAATTTACATGTGTAACTCTTTAATTGTGTTTGGCCAGGAAACTTGGTATCATCCTATAGCAGAAGATGACATGAAAGTGGTCATGGAGTATAACTGTGACTATCGAAGATATACACATCCTACCTGGGCACAAAGTGAAGGGAAAAGACCAAAGTTCTACAAGAGTGCAGAAAGTGCAGAACGAAATTTCTCTACCAGTATTAGAAAGGCTCTCGTAGTGGTGAAAGTTGCTAACACCCATATCTCCACGTTCACGACATGCTGCAAAGACTGGGACACAGAATATTACCCAGATTATATAGTTGTACTTCGTGAGTGATGTGCAAACTTATGGGGCTGCACTTCCTCTACTGCAGCAGTTTTCAAACAGTGGTGCATACACTTACATGGCTCCACATCTTCTGTTTCAGTGGTTCTCAAGCCAGAATTGGTTTCAAATGGAATGCACATGGTATGTTCGAACAGCTTCAACATAAACCAACATTACTAAAACTCAAGAATGAGTAGCAGGAGCATAACAAAGGTTTAAAATTATTTAGAGCTTTCTTATTACCTCCCTTTCTGACGATAATTTGATGCTGTCTGTAGTACTTTATACCAAAGTCCAGTAAGATGAAACCATGAATTTTAAATATGTATTGATAACTAATATATGATTCATATGCACATATGTTCTCATACATAGTGCCTGAGCATTGGGATGAGTGTACCTTATGCAGCCATAAATTATTTTCGGATTTTCTTTGCTATAACGCCACGTAGTCTCTTGATATAATGATCAGCTTTGATGTGTGGCCACTCATCACCAGGGTGCCGATTATGGGGACCATGAATCTGCTAAGTCAATATTTTGAGGAGGATATCCTGAGGCATTTCACCACGTCCTGAAGGCCTCACACCTCAGTTTCGCTAGCCAGGCCTACAGACAAACTGGCGGCATGTCTATGAGTTTGCCACTGTCTCTGGTCATCGCCATATTCTTCGTGAAGGTTTTCGAGGAGATGGCACTTGACTGGGCTGCCCATAGGCCCCCGCTGCTGGTTCAGTAATGTGGACACTTTTCATCATCACCCCGCATGGACCTGACAGGTTGAATGGTTTGCTTGACCATCTGAACAGTGTCCACCACAACATTCAGTTCACCATGGAGTTTGGAAAGAGACAGCCACCTCTCTCCCTTGATGTAAATATTTATAGGAGACCAGATGACTCTCGGGCCATAAAGTGTACTGTAAACCTACTTAAATTCTAGCTCTCATCACCACCCATCCAACAAGCATGCCATGCTTTCCACATGGTACACAGCAAGAGCTCTGTGTGGTCAAGACAGCCTTCATGTGGAATTACTGTTCCTGGGAGACATTTTTAGGCACACCGGCTACACCAACTAGCAGATTGCAGGGCCCTCCCCTACCCCTGAGGGTTGCTTAGCCTGATGAAAAGCCAGAGTTGGGTCGATATTCAACTGCATCAGCAGGGTGCTGTCTTGGCACTTCAAGAAGTCTGTATATCTAGTCTTCTTTGGTCAGTCAAGGACGACCTGGGACTGCAGATGCCTGGAGTATACAGCATCCTTTGTGAGTGTGGTCAGGTCCACATTGGGGAGACGGGCTGTTAAGTTGACACCAGGTTGAGGAAGTGCCAGTGACATCCATCTAGAACAGGGGTCTCCAAACTTTTCGAACCGCGGGCCACATTAGGTAATTCAGCACTTTCAATGGGCCGGATGAAATGAAAAATTAATAACTCTAGGTATGAGTTTTATTGAAAGCACAGAATTTCATAAACTAAATACAAAGTATGTGAGAATAAATTATCGTATATTAATGACAACAGACAGCAGCAGCAAA